CATTACAATGACATTTGCCCCTCCTGCCTTGAAAATGATGCCACGCCGGAACACTTTTTGTGCTTCTTGCCTGCCTTTATAAAAATTATGTATGAGGCTTCTGGCAGTGATGTATTGAGACACGAACGCCTAAGCTCTTTAACACCCATCAATCCAATATTTACTGTTTTATGAGCTGGAAGCATCGAAAGGCAAATTTCGTCAGTAGGACTTTAAACCGAGTTAAACCTCTTACCGTTTAAGTACCAATCCCCCGGTACTTTCGTCGGGAAGTGGTTTGAGGACAGAGCGCTAGGTTCATTACATTCCTCAGGCATTCCGGGTTAATGTATTTTAAAATATTACATAAAAACCCACCTTATTCGGATCCATTCAAACCACCCTCTCTGAGCCTCTCACCTTCTCGGACTGACGCTTCGACTAGCTTCTTTCCGGCTAGTAGTGAAGGTTCGACAGCGTTGATACACTCTCGCTTTTTCTTCAGATAGAAGATCGATAGGTGTCATGCCTACGATAACTAGTGCCACTTCGTCTGACGCATATGATAAATCGTCGATTCTTTTTGTATTACATTTTCCGTATGTAGTCCAAAGCTGATTCTATATTTCAACCGATCTGACTACACTCATTAAACTATCTTCTCCGATTTATTCGCAGATCACGTAGATTTATAACTGATGTAAAGGGGACGCGTTGTTTTGTGTTAGTTCCGACAAAAAAAAAAAGCTCAGAACATTGGTCCCCTATTCAGTTTCAGTGGATGAGTATCCGCTTCACATCAGCAGTCCCTATTGGCTTTTTCATTTTGTATCTATAAAGACTACAGTTATGAAAGCTGATCATGTTGTTGTTGTAGCGGCTACAACAACCCCGCCCAGATCGGTTGGTATCTCAGTCGTTGTCGTCAAGTTCCACTAACGGCAACCCTAGGAAGCGTGCAGCTTCTGTGGGATCTGTCCACAGGGACAGGGCCGTTAGGGTAGTCGGGTTTTCCGGGCATGCGAAGAGGTGGTTCGAGTCATGTGGGGTCTCTCCGCATGCCGGACATTCGTTCGGCACATCCTCATTCAGCCTACTCAAGTAGGAGTTTAACCTGCTGCAGTAGCCGGAGCGAAGTTGAGCAAGTGTAGTGCGTGTCTCCCGAGGCAGATGAAGCTCTGTCTCGTCAGTGTCCGGGGGTGGTATGCCTAGAACGGCATTCACAGGTCGAGAGTCTACATAACTCGAGACTGAGTCCCTGTGAATGCCGTTCAGGGCCTGTCTGTACGCTGTCGGGTCCAGAGGTTGCTTAATGAACCTCTGGACTTCGTCCGTCAGTTCATATAGATGCCTCCTGACGTGCCTAGGCGAGGGCTCCTCTGCAAGCAGCTGTCTGTTTGGGTGGCCACTTCTGTGGCTCCCGATCAGGAACTGCTTGCAGAGCATTATGTTGTGCTCCCTAACTGGGAGCATTTGCGCCTCGCCGTGCAAGTGATGTTCTGGCGTCATCAGGAGGCATCCCGTCGCTGTCCTAAGTGCCGTATTTTGTCCCGTCTGTAACTTCGTCCACTGCGTCCTACTAGTCCCTGGCGACCACACTGGCGCTGCGTAGTTCAAGACCGGCCGGCCTATTGCCTTGTATGTTGCCAGCAACGTTTCTTTGTCTTTGCCCCAAGTACTGCCGGCTAGCGACTTGAGGACCTTGTTGCGGCTCTGTACTTTATTGACAATAGCGGTTGAGTGCGCAGAGAAGGAGAGCAGGCTGTCGAATGTGACTCCGAGTATTTTGGGGTTATTCACCGTCGGAATTGGTGTGTCATCGACGTGAATCCCCAGCGGTAGCCTGACCTCCTTCGTCCAGGTTGTGAACAGGGTCGCGGAGGATTTCGTAGGGGAGAGGGCTAGACACTTTGCAGTGAAGAAGCGAGAAAGTTCGGAGAGATAGCCGTTTACTTTCGAACACAGGTCATCAATTCCATTCCCAGTCGCCATAATCGAGCAATCGTCGGCATAGGAGACAATCGAGACTCCCTCTGGTGGTTGAGGGAGCTTTGAAATATAAAAGTTAAACAGTAGCGGGGAAAGGACACCACCCTGAGGAACCCCCTGTTTTATTTTTCGCTGCTTACTCGTTTTGTCTCTGAACATTACCGACGAATGTCGACCACTTAGATAATTTGCCGACCACCGTTTGAGCCTCTGTGGGAGAGAGGAGGCCTCTATATCTTCTAGTAGCGTGGAATGGCAGACGGTGTCAAACGCCTTTGACAAGTCCAACGCTACTAGAATCGTTCTCTCACAGGGACGGTTACGGTTAAGGCCACGAGTTATCTGAGTGTTTATGGCGTTAAGTGCTGTTGTTGTACTGTGCACTTTTCGGAAACCATGCTGATGCTTCGCTGGGGTCAGGTGATTTGTGAAGTACGGGAGTAGCAAGGCCTCGAGTGTCTTCGCTACCGGGGAAAGGAGTGTAATCGGACGATACGAATCTCCTTTGTTTGCCGGTTTCCCCGGTTTGAGCAGTGGGACCACTCTCCCCACCTTCCAGATGTCTGGGATGATGAGAGTGGCCATTGACAAATTGAGGGCCTCCGTTAGGTACGCTACCCCCGCAGGACCCAAATTTTTCAGCATCAGCATGCATATTCCGTCGGGACCCATGGCTTTGGAGGCTTTCGCCTTCCCGATGGCCACCTGAACTTCACCGCAAGTGAAAGCAAGGGGGGCACAAGTTGTTGGCAGTTTGTGCAGCCTTCTGGTCACTCGACGCTTGGCTTTGTCCACCGGAGGATGCAGTATGAACTGCCGGCTGAAATAGCTCGCGCATCGCTCCGGGTCCGACGAAGCATGGTCGCCGAAGGAAATTTCGACTCTGTCGTCGTGCTTCGTCGGATTAGACAATGACCTCACGGTTGACCAAAGCTTGCTCACACCAGAGGTGAAGTTGCAAGTCTTCAGATGCTCCTCCCACTTCTTCCGCTTATGTACGTTTACAAGTTGCCGAATCTCCGCGTTGAGATCCCTGATACGGGGATCTCCGGGATCGGCCTGACGAAGGCTATCACGCTCATTGGCTAAAACAGCCGCTTCGGCAGGGAAGTTTGGACGTGGGTCCGATATGCACCCTGCCGGTATGAAGCGGGCTGCAGCAGCAGTGATAGCCCTGCGGAACTTACGTTCACCGAGATGGACGTCGGTTGGTGTGGGGAGCGATGTGAAGGTGTTTTCAGTAAACTCCGCGTAACCTTTCCAGTCAGCTTTAGAAAAGTTGACATAGGTCCGGTGTTTGGCGGAGGCAAAGTCGGTTGGTTTATCAATCGAGATCACTATGGGTAGATGGTCTGATGCTAGAGTCAGCATAGGTCGCCACGTTATGCTGTTTATCAGACCAGCGCTGACTATTGTGATGTCTGGCGAGCTACTGCAGTTACCCATAATCCTGGTGGGTGCGTCGTCGTTCATTGTGCAGAATGTCGAATCGTCTATCTGCTCAGCCAAGTCTGTTCCCCTACGATCGTTTGACAGGCTTGAGTGCCAAAGATCGTGGTGCGCATTAAAGTCACCTACTACCATACGGTTTTCACCTCTGAGGAGCGCACCTATATCAGGGTGATATCCTGCCGGGCAGCAGGTGACAGGGGGTATGTATATATTAAATATTTCGAGCTCGACATCGCCTGACCGGATAGCGATGCCCTGACATTCTAGGGTGGTATCCCTGCGGTCGATGTCTGCTTCGATAAGACGATACTGCACGGTGTGGTGCGTGATGAACGCTAAGCCACCACCATTATCTCGCTCGCGATCTCGACGGTGCACGTTGTACCCGGCATAATTCAACAAAGTTGAATTGCTGTGCAACTTCGTCTCTTGGACCGCAGCTATTAATATACCATGCCGACACATGAAGGCGGTTATCTCCTCAATCTTGCTCTGTAGCCCGTTGCAGTTGAATTGGAGGAGCTTCATGTGGTTCGGGAGACGTGTTGTGATGTGGGGTGTGAGTGATGTGTATGTTCTTGCCGCCGTTGGCTGTGTGTGCTGCTGAGGAGATTGCCTCCCTGTGGTGGTAGTGGGGGGCGTCGCAATTGATGTCAGCGACCGAGCAGCGCAACACGGGCCCTCGAAGTTCCCCGTCCAATCTCGCGTGGTGCGCAGACCTGAACATGCCCTAAAGTGGCACCAGCCAAGGCAGGTGTTGCACTTGACTGATGTCACATTACGGAATATCCTGGTCTGACATACCGTGCAGATTGTAGGGGGAACCAGGAGTTGTTGGCGGCGGCGTGTGGGTGGTGGTGCGGTTGTGTGTGTTGTGTGGTCTGTGGTGGCTGTGGTATGTTGTTGTGTTGTGGCGACTGTGTGTGGTTGCTGTGTGAGTGTGTGGGGCTGCACGGGCGGACTATGGGTTGTCGTGGAGGCTGCTCTGTTTGAGCAACAGGGGGCCACGTACGACGTGGTCCACTGTCTGTGTGTCCGTAGTCCCGAGCAGACCCTGAGGTGACTCCACCCCTCGCAGGCATTACACTTGACTGAGGTATACACAGCAGGTGTATATTTCTGGCCCAGGGTTTGACTCGATGCCAGCCCTGAGTAGGAGAATGCGTAGTGAATGTTGCCCTATGGACGGACAACTTCTGAGATACTTCGCCGACCTAAACGGGGTTAGATCGCCGAAACAACAGCCCTTGGTCGGGTGAAACCCGAGTCATTCCGGTACGTAGAACCGGCTGTCGTGGGAATGAAAGCTGATCATCGAGGGAACTGCTTTTAAGAATACGATATTTTAAGAGATAAAAGTCTCCGCGATATCGCTAAACGATCTGAGTCATTTTGAACTATTCGTTAAGAGAAAGTGTGAAAATTAATAAAAATAAAAAAATAGTGGTATTTCCAATCTCAAATCGCAGTAGTTTGTGGCCAACATTATCGATAATCAACGCCCTTTTTGTAAATGTCCTAGTCCTTAGGCGGACTCTGCGACAATAATTAATAGGCTGCCCTATGCTGGTTGATTTAAGAGACTCAGAAACTCATTACCTTTCTACTTAATTTTTATTTTTAGCCGCGAGGTTCGTGAAATTGAAGCTAATGAAGAGAATGAAATTTTGGCACGCGCTGCCAAGGCTAAGGAGGAATATGATGAACGACGTTTGGCCTCCAGCTTTGTTGAATATCTAAACGAGCATCAGTTGTACGAGTCATTGTGGAAAGGGGACGAAGATGGTCATGCGCTACTACAGATCGGGCAGACGGCTACCGATCTTGCTGAGGAATACGACAATGATATCTATGGTGTGACGCAAGAAATATATAAATTTGGTTTGGAATGTTATGAAGAGCGTGAGTTAGAGATAAATGAATTCAAGGAGAATTTGGAAGAAGGTCAAAATTTGATACAAAAAATGGGTCAAGATGTAATCGAAGAATTTCTACAACATAAGGAAAGCGTCTTCGAACGTGCATCTGCTGTACTTAAAGCATTGGAGATACGAACTATGCGCGGCGAAGATGAAGAGTCGCCCGAGAGTTTGGACTTATTGGAACAATTTGATAAGATTTCAATGCAATTTGATGATACCATCAATGAAGTATGGCAGCAGCTGATGAGCCAGGAATTGCATTTACACGAGAGTGTAGAGGTTAGTGCATAAAATTCGCCGTACAGCCCTAAGTATAAAGTATTTTTGCAAACAATTTTGATTCTGGAAAAATGTGAGGCTTTTACATTAGGACGGGCTATAAGAACTGAAATCTAACGTAGAGAGAAGCCTCAAGAAGGCGTTGCGTTTGTAAATAAAAATCAACTGTTATTTATGGCCGCGTACTTAGCGTTTACTCGCGTGAATTTTGAGGAGACAATCCGGCAGGTTCTGCAATTCACTTCCCATTTGATTTGATTTTACACACAATGACAACATTCCCCCAACAGCCGGTTCTACGCACCGGAATGACTCAGATTTTTCCCCTGTCAAGGCCTGTGGTTTAGTTCCCAAAGCCTCTGAGGTTCAGCCAGGCGAAGCGGTCAACAGTTGTCCGCAAATCATGTTAGCCCAACGCCGGTAGTCACATCGATGCGTGGTATGTCAAGGCCTATTTTAGACTGCCGGCAAGTGTGGAGGCCGTGCCAGTATTCATAGTGTTTCTGTTATCAAATACAACTCATTTTGTGAATTTCTCCACCGAACCAGCTGTGGCTAGTGCATCAGCTTTTTCGTTGCCTTTGACGTCTTTATAACCCATCAAGCCAATACAGACGGGCATGGCTGCTGCTTGGGTATCGAAGCAGATGAATATTGCACCCCGTCAATACCTTACAGTATTGTTACCACTAAGGTGAAACGTGGTCTTAACCGTAGCAGCCCCTTGAGAGAACAGTCATGGTAGCGTTGAACCTGTCAAAGACATTTGACACCCTTTGTCATTTCACACTATTAGAAGATATCGGCTCTTCCTCTCTCCCATAGGAACTTAAACGGTGGTCGACGAATTATAAAGAGCAGACGGCAGTCGTCAGTAACCTTTCGAGATCAGACTTCAAATCCTAAAAGAGTTAAACAAGGGTTTCCAGAGTGTGATGTCCTCTGCCACCTACTTTTCAACTTCTGTATCTCGAAGTTTCCTCTGCTCAGGGAGGGCGGTGGATATTGACGTCGGGGAATGAAATTGTTGACTTCTGCAGGAAAGTAAAAGGCTACCTCTCCGAACTTTCTCGCTTCTTCATTCGGTCGCCAGTAAAAGCTGGACGCAGTGGACGAAGCTACAGACTAATTAGAACGCCGCACTCCGGACAGCGACCGGATGTCTTCTGATGTCGCCATAACATCACCTACATGACGAGGCGCAAATGCTTCACGTTAGGGAGCACAACACAATGCTCTGAAAGCAATTGTGGCTTCCTAAGACGTGGGCACTCGAACAGACACTTGCTTGCAGAGGAGTCCTAGCCAAGGCACGTCACAAGGCTGCATAAAGCAACCTCTGGACCCGACAGCCTATCGACAGGCCTTGAGCGGCATTCGCAGGAAGTCAGTCTCAAGTTACGTAGACTCCTGCCTGTGAATGTCGTTCTGGGCACACACCACCTGACGTGAACGAGACAGAGTTTCGTCTGCCTCGGAAGACTCGGACCCAATGGCCCAACTTCGCTCTGATTACTGCAGAAGGTTAAACTCTACCTGAGAACACTGGATGGGGACGTACCCAATGAGTGCCCGGCATGCGGCACCCACGACTCGATACATCCCTTCGCTTGCCCATTGAACCCCACTCGACTGACGCCTCTGTCCCTATGGACGGACCCTATAGAGGCTGCACGCTTCTTGGATCTCGCATTAGTTGAGCTAGACGAAAATGATTGAGATTTTAGCCGCTATAACAACAACTCCCGACCTATGATTGCCGCCCAATCACCACCTGTAGCAGACACGGAGCTTCAACTGCCAATAGAGTCCCGCGTTACTCTGGGCCAGTTACGGTCGGCCTATTGTAGCCGCCTCCAGACTCTACCCCGATATTCCCAATGAGTGTCCGGCATGTAGAGACTCCCAACCACCTCTGCACATATCAGCTCAATCCCACTTAGCTAACACCCCTCTCCAATTGATCCGACCCCGTCGAAACAGTTCGTTTCTTGGGTCTACCGTTAGTGGAGCTTGACGACAACGATTAATGAACAAACCGACCTAATCGGGGTGTAATAGTCTCGCTACAACAGCAGCCACGTACAATGGCAGTACGAATTACAACAAACACGTCGTTTTAATGTTATGATTCCCACGGCGAAAAATTTAGCTGTTCCCACACCCCAACACCACCTTATTGTTTTTATTTTGTTTTATCATTTCTGGGAATGTCCGTTCCCATGCGAATTCGCATTTCTTCTCCTGTTTATGTTAATATAGCATGAAAAATCCCCCGACAATTTGGGGGAATGTTTTCTGATAGTCCTTAAGTAGATATAAAATCTGGGTCATATCGGTTACGTGGATGCGACGGTACGCTCTTTTTTAACTTTTGACCTTTGATTATTTCCACCTCAGGAAACCACAGTCAACTTTCAACGTCGCATACAAGAAATGATGGCCAGATTTGTGGAGCAAGTACAAACATATTTCGGACAGCTACGTGACATTGCCATTCACTTTTCTGAAAATATGACCGAAGTGGCCACACATTACATCAACACGAAGTTAGCACTGCAAGATTTCGAAGATGTGCCACCTGAATTGTCGCATTACATGGAAGATCGTGAAGCTGTCCTTAATTTGATCGCTGGCATGAAGGATACACATATTCAACGTATTGATGAGCGAGAAGATCGGCTAATGGTGCGGAGCAGAGATTTTATAGAAAACATGATCGATGAACTTAATAAGTAAGTGGCTTAATCAGACATAAAGCCTTGTACTACTTACTTACTAAATCGAAAATCCAAACTTTCATAATCTTTTTACAGTAACGAATTGGAGCGCAATAGAGCTAAAATTCTTGAAATCAATTCCTTCCTTGAATTGATGTCCGAGTCTTTAGCCTCATTGCAGAGTGAAATCCGCGAAGAAATAATGAATGAGGAAGCGTAAAATAAAAGGGAGTACTCAAGGTTTATTTGTTATACTTTTCTATCTACATGATAAATAACGAAATTTAAATACGAATTCAAAATAAATGCGAACATCTAATAATGTATATATATCAAACCACTATAATCTTAAATCGAAAAATGCCACAATGTAAAACTCAGCAGGTAATTCGCTTTCGAATGCCATGCTCAAGCTTTCTTCTTTAAGCTTTCCAGATATAATCCTAACGCTTTTTGGGTACCCGGCTTAGTGATAGTATCGATGAATAACTGTAAGTCTTGTTCACGATGCTCTTCGAGGTCTTGTAATTCCTTGACACGGAATTGCTGCTTGGTCAAGGCACGTGCGTAGGGGCTGACTTGCTTGAACGAGGCAAAGAACTCTTCACATTTAGCTAGCGCTTCTTCCTTTGTGTTGACAACATCATCAACGAGACCTGCCTGTTGCGCTTCAACAGTGGTGAACATTCTACCCGTGTAAGCGCTAACTCGGCGATACGCCGCGGGAGTACGTTAAGGAATGAAGCCATAAACCAATTCGGTGCCATAATTCCCAGGCGGGTTTCATTCAAACCTATCGTGAATTTGGGCAGCATAACACGATATTCACAAGATGCTGCTAGCAGACATCCTCCTGCCGGTGCGTGACCCTGCCGATAACAAGACAATTATTAAACGATTTTTTAATCTTTACGATTTTAATACTTGCAAATTATTGTTTAGTTTAATCAGAGTTGCGGCTGAATATCGTTTTTACGGTGTTCGCATGAGACGATTTTACAATCAACTTTTAATTGAGGGCAAAAATCGCCTGGTGTGAACGGCCTTTCAAATAATCGTTTTCAATGAAGTTGGGGTGTAGCCAACTTTTGTTTCAACCAATCGCCCATAAAATTGCCTGGCAAATCACCTCATGCGAACATCGTATTAATGAAACTACTAAACGTCACTTTATTAAGGTACTTTGGATTAAGAGGACTGAACGTAATATGTGTAACTTACGTTAATCGCTGCTGCAGTTGGTAGTTTTGAGCCATACAATGCCATCCACGTGCTTTGCAGTGTTGTCCAAAAACTTTTTAGACGTTCTTCTTTGGGCTGGTACATTTCCAAGATATCCAGGCCTGCACTAAATACACTATTTGAAGACTGAAGAAAAATATTTAATTTATCCAGGTACATACATACATACATACAAACGTATGTAAAGTTTCAAATCATTTAATTACAGATGTCAGTATGAGCCCCTTGCACTTGTTGCTCTCAGCATCTTTTATACAATTGCGTATATCAGTTAACAGCTCCAAATTGAGGCTGTTCACCGGTGGCCGGTTCAAAGTCAATGTAGCAATGCCAGTTTTTTCGTTAACCTCAAGTTTAGTGTATTGAGCATCCACGGAAGACATAGATCGCAGAGCGGACAGAAACTGTCTCGGAGCTGATGTGGAAGCAGCAAAACGCGAAGTGCGGAGGATATACATGATCTTGCAGTTGTTTTAGAAAATTTTTTGGGAATAAATTTTTCTTAAATGAAGATGTGCACTTTAGAGATAAGAAGAAATCGAACACCATTTATCGATTTATAACATAGATTTTATTTTGCTAATTTTCTTAATGGTATTTAGTTTAGGATATACATACATATATGTTAATATTAGACATGAAAACTCAACATTTTGTATATTGAGCATTCACTTCCGTTAAAACAAAATGTATTAGCCCTGAAAATTTTGAAAATTAAATTTCGACTTATAATTACGATAACGGACTTTGATCGTGCGGTTCTAGCACAGGGTGATGCATGTTATGAGTTATCACTATCCCAAGCAGGGCTGCCAGTTTGGCTCTTTTCCCGTCAAATCTGACTCTTTCGAAGTCCATTTAGCGGCAAGAAATGAGAAATTAGCTTTGTTCCACACGCTTTCCGGGCTGCCCCGGTCATTGGAGCGTAAAAATAAGATACTCCCTCACAAGTGTCAAAAATGTGTCAACATGTGCCAAAAGTGCCCAGGGCGTGAGGAACGCAAAAAACAAATTTCGTGCCCGGAATCAACAAATTAGATCTAAATAATGATTTTAGATGTATTTATCTTATATGGCTAATAAAATTACCAAATAACTACATTTTATGAATATTCTACGGTATTTTTCACTTTTGTGTTTTATGAAATTCACTTTCGAATTTAAACAACAACAGCTGTTATTTCAAATTGCCCTTTTGCAATTGGGAAGCAGTTCGGGCTGTTTCGTGCACAAAGAAGAAGACATTTACGGTCCAAAATTGGGACGTATTCGCTCTCTATTACCCATTTTTCTAGAGAAATTTTTTTACGGATTTTTTAGCTTTTTCTCTTAGTCCCCTTTCAGACACGTCAAGTCTTGAAAGCAATTTTTATCGCATTCTCTTTTGTGTTTTCTCTTTGCTTCCACACACGTCAAGTTTTATTGAATTCAAGTTCTCGGATCTTTAAATGGGAGGCAACGAAAAGATCAAAAGAGAACAAGAAAACTTGAAACGAATTGACGGTACGGAGGTATCTGTACTCTTCCCCTGTCTTCCCACCTCCTTCACCAACGAACGAGCAGACTTGAAAGCAAGACTTGACGTGTCTGAAAGGGGACTTATACAATATAGTACATACATATGTATTTAAAATTACCAGCGCAATTTCGATACGATTATCCTTTTTTTCAAGTTCATTCAAACAGTATTCGATAGTTACCAAAGTTTACTGAAAAGAAAATATGAATTTTTATATTTCCTACCTACAGAAATAGTAAGCTTCAAAATTACGAATGTCACACACTTTTTTCTCAATTGCTATTACAAATGGCTGCTTCTCAACCGGTCAGATCTGTTCTAATTGGTTCATGACCACCTTGTATTATTGCATCATGGCGTCAAAGAACGTCGATTTACATTATTTGGTAACGTGTTTCCCATGAACCAAAAATACAAGATCACATAACTAACGTATTTGTAACTGGCTTTGAGAAAAAAGTTTGCGAAAGCGGGTACGTCAGCTGAGCGTTTGTTTACATCACAAGCACCACTATTTTACACTTTTATTCAGGTAAAGAAGAGTGAATTCAACATGACAACACATTTAAAAGCATTTTGTTGCATCATTTTACCTAAATTGTGCGTTTAAAGTGGCTGACAATAATTTTGGCTAGTTTTGGTTTTCGTTGTTTTCTTTGCTTTGTTTACTTTTCGCTCGTTTTCCAGTGAAACAAGATGTCGTAGAACCCGCTAAAAAAAATCGACTTTTTTCACTCTCTTGTTCTTACGTGATCTTGTGTCTTTCGTTCATGGTGTTTTCAAAGGCGCCTTGTTATTGTCCCTTCGCATAGATTCGCGCTGTTTGGTTTTACTGTATAGCGAAGTATCATTCACAGATGTCGCACCAGTGACAAGTTGTCAATTTATCGTTGACAGTTTACACGTCACAGAAACTTCGTCGTTGCTTCGTCCATTACACTACTTTCACTTCTCCAATTAGGAGTTTACTTGGTTTATTTGCTCCAACAATTTTGTGTACGAACAACTTGGAAATTATCGTGCTTGAACAATAATAAAATGGGATCAGGAAAGCAACAAAAAGTGCAATCTTCTGGCTTCACCAAGGAAGAGGAACTGCTATTACAAGATTTTAGCCGTAATGTGAGCACCAAATCATCCGCTTTATTCTACGGCAATGCTTTCATCGTTTCGGCGATACCAATTTGTGAGTGTGGTGACACGTAGCCGGTCGCTTCTGGCCACAGCTACATACATAGTATATTACTTCAATGACTATTAACACCTTGTAATTTAAATATTTAGGGCTCTTTTGGCGTGTGCACAACATGGATCTATTGTCCAGTGCATTTTTCTTTGTGCTGCTAACAGGGGCCAGTACTTATCTGATGGCCATGGCATATCGGAACATAAAATTCCAATTGAAGCACAAAATCGCTAGCCGTCGCGAAGATGCTGTAACCCGCGAAATAAACCGTCAAATTGGTGATGACAAGAAAGTTACACGCAAGGAAAAGGATGAACGCATCTTGTGGAAGAAGAATGAAGTAGCTGACTACGAAGCAACTACTTTCTCAATTTTCTATAATAACGCGCTCTTCTTGGCAATCATAATCTTCATTAGCTTTTTCATTTTGAAAAATTCGTCGCCTCTGGTAAATTACATCTTCTCAATTGGCTTGGCCAGTGGTGTCTTGGCATTATTCTCCACCAGCACACAAACAAATTAAGCTGCAGCAGCTTTTGTGGAAGCTAAAATGGGCCAAGTTAATGTTTTCATGCGTTTGCAGTTGTGAGATTTTCTATGTAAGTCTTATTTTTTATTAAAACAAAATTTTTTAAGAAAACAGCATAAATGTGTGAACGATAAGCCACTGAAAGTATTTTAACTTTCAATCTAGCGCGTGAAATATTTGCAAACAAAAATTTATATTAACTAAAAAAAAAAAAACGAATAGAATACGCAGTTAGAATAAATATTCCTCAAACACTCAATGCATTTGTTTTACGTTAATGAAGAAATATTGGTGATAAGGGATAGGTATAAATAAGCTACATATTTTCGTTAGATGATACAATGTACTGTAAATAGAAAATAATTGCTTAAGTAGTACGTGTGTTCCTACATATGTATGTATTTATAAACATTTTATAGATTAATCTCCAATGAAAAATAATTTCAACTGCCTTGAAATAGTATCCGCTGCATACATTTTTAAACATTTCTGCCACGGATGTGGACTGCTCTCTGTGCTAGTTTGCCGACCATTGCGGTCCACTGGTAGATCAAGACTTCTGGAATATTTATCCATTTCGTTGGGCCAAATTTCGTTTTGTTCATCCGAAATATCTGCTGTCTCTAATTTCGAAATTGGGCTTTGATTCGCCGCATCATATATTGGTAAATTCTGTAGATATGCTATTGCGAAATCGATCACCTCACCGGTAAGAATAAAGGGATATTCGTAAATATTGCGATCTGGATATGCTGTTGTAATGTATTTGCTAAAGCATTTCCCGAGCAGCACCTCGGGTATATAGCGGTTGTAAATGCGGAAAATTTCGGAAAGACTGTTTCGCAGCATCGAAAATAAATGTTTAGCAAATCGAAGAATATCCTGAATTAGCTGGGTGACCATTTTGCTGTTACAAGAAAAAGTAAAAAACGGTTTTACTGTAAGAATACATGTGTATGTACATATGTACCTATGTAATAAATGTACATATTTAATAAATTTAACAACAAGCTTACATGTGTATCAACTGCTGCTCGTGATCACCCGATAAGCGACGTTGAAAGGAAACTGCAATTTCTTTAATGCCTACGAGTACATGACGAAGTCCCAGGAGTAATGTGAGGCGCGTGTTTTCAACCAAAGTGCTGTGGTAAGAAATTATAGTTTGTTTATTTAATAATAATTAATAATTTAATTTTAAGTTTCTTCAATTTAATTCAATTCGGAATCGTCGCTTAAGCTTGGTTCTAAATTTTCAGTGAAGTAAAAGAGTAAGAGTTTTAAGTTTGGTTTTGATTGAAGTCTAGTCAAATTTGCATCTAGACTGAAAAACTGCATTTATAAGCTTATGAAAAAATATTCTGCCTTATCCTGAGTTTCGTCTGAAAACAAATTCACCCGAAAATTTGTATTTGTGAAAAGTGAACCGGTTCGGGGAAAATCAAACTCATGATAAGGCTGTTTTTTTTATTATTTTATGTTAAAAAACATTTGTGTTGTTGCTGGTTGCCGGGCAATAGTTCATGAGGTTATATGTTTTATTCAGTTTCGAACCACAAAATATTCGGAAGAGTAGTAATTTTTAACTAAGTAACCAACAACGGAAAGATGTGATCAACACAAATAGTTTTCATAGCATAATTTATTGTTTTTACTCAACTTTCTTCCTTTGAAATATACATAAATCAGTAGGGGTAAAACATTAACATAATTTAAACTGTTTTGTAAAATATTTCTCTTTTATAATAAAATTCATATCAAATTGTTTTTATGAAAAGTAGTGCATCGAATTTATGTTACTTACGCGTTACTAACTGTTCCTTGCAAGGATCTTCCACTTTCCCGATTTACTGCGGGTAAAATTTGCACTAAAGAATCGGCAATAAATTCAATATGCTGGAAAAGCCATTGGGCATCATCACGTAGCGTCTTATAGTCCTCAGTTATGCTGTTTAAAGAGGAAACTTCATTAAAAATGCTGCACTAAGTTAAACGGTAATTTGCTGTGATGAAAGTATCTACCTTAAATTTGTTTGTTGTTTTTGATTAACCACATTCGGTGCAGTCGAGATTAGTTGAGCTTTAAACAGCGTTACTATCAAAAAAAGATATTTAAAAGTGAATATCGACATGGCTGTTTTATAAGTATGTATGAATGTCTATATTCGAACAAACTTCATTGACTAACAGCTCAATACTAAATTCAGGCGATTTGTACTGCCACACTCGTACCTGTTTAAGGCTCTTGAAAATAATTGTTTTATGTATGTATGTATATACCTTGTTTAGGGCCTTGTTGGCTGAAGTACATATTCATAGTATGTAGATTTATTTACACATACATATCTACATACATATGTACATATGTATATACGAACCCTCAAACATTTTCGGTAAATAGAATAATATTTTACCTATGCAAAATACTGCAATAGGATACATAGGATACCTTTCTGAAATAAACTACAGTTATCATAAACATGCATAAATATACATTCGAGAAGCAAAAACCATTATAAAAATAGTATCAAAACCAGGTAGGGCTTTTTAAAAAGTGGCATTAACTCCGTTGTTTTTGGTACTATCACTTAAAAACTTGAAACGAAGGTATATTTTAATACATTGTACCAAAACCTGTGAAAACCGCAGTTTCGAAAAGAGTGTTGGTTAGGGCCTTTGTCAAATAAGACAACGATATGTAAATTCAAAACATTAAAGTCGTTTTTGTACAGTTTTTTTTTTTTAGTTATGGCACTATTGAAGTAAATGAGCGATATGTTTAATAGGCGGCATACATGTTGCGTCTGACTCGCGAGTCATTTGTGTACGTGTTGACTCGCCTTCGACTACACACGGCTGAATCATTCAGAGTCATGCCAGGAGTCATGTCGGTGTAACTAACACATATTTATTTTCACAAACACATCCAAACCGCAATAAAAAGCAAGTAAATTCATGTACAGAAGTATGTACTAAGGCACTGCAAATATACCAGCAGAAATCCTCTTCGCATGTGTACATGAGTAAATGGAACATATATTTTAGAGTACTTAAAAAGATAGGAACAAACAATACATGATAGGTTTATTCAGTTTTTTGCCTTATTGTCATTGTGGAAGGAGCCACTGTGGTGATGGCCCGTGGTCGAAATTGGTATTCCGGGTCAATCTGTTATACATGGAACCGACCTTTTTGGGTTATTTGCCTTTACACTTTGCACTTACAAGTTTAATACAAACAAACAAAAATTTCAAAAACCGGGCTCAACTGGTCTCGTGCGACTTTTTTAGCTTTCATTAAAAAAGAAAAATTATCAAATTGAGTGAAAAATTAAAGCTTCAGTGAACACAAAATGCCAATTTTGAACCACTGTGGAGCGGCCGTTCTCTTGCCTAGGCAAATTCATACTGAGAAAATTACTAAAGTCTTCCTGGGATTCCCACTAGGATGTACCTCCCGGACCTCAGCTCTTAGCCCAAGCCGAATAGACGGAGAGTTCCGCAGGCCACACCATTGTCACACCCCATACTGCTTCACATAAAAGTTTCGTAATTCGCTAAGAATGAAAATATTTCTTTCCTAATTAGGGTAACTGGTAATCCCATTTATCCAACACAGCTTTCTCTCGATTTGTCACCTCACTGCTTTGATAAATGTGTGCGTTGACTAGTTATTAACCGACTTCCAAAAAAGGAAGAGGTTATAAGTTCGTCGGAATATTTTTTATTTTTTTTTTATGTATGTTACCGCATAACTTTGCACCACGTCAACCGATTGCAATAATTCTTCTTTTTTGAAACGGAAAGGTAGTGTCTCAGAGGTGGTCCCATACTAATTTGGTTTAGATCCGATCATTGGATCATGAAATATATAGATATATATATATTTTTTTTAAGTCGGTTTTTTTTT